CTCCTATCTTCTCTCTCTACCCCATCTACTGTAATTCATTTCTCTCCTTGTTTATTTTCCTATTCCCCTCACAACCTCTTTTTTTTGAGAGAATTTTATTTTTAATATTTTTTTTTTAGTTCTCGGCGGACACAACATCTTTGTTGGTATGTGGTGCTGAGGATTGAACCCGGGCGGCACACACTCCAGGTGAGTGCGCTACCAGTTGAGCCACATCCCCAGCCCCACAACCTCTTTTTTAATATGAATCAAAATATGTACCCAGTATGTCGCTTACTGGGTTGTATGATTATAATACTGAGCTTATATTAAGGAGACCATTCTGAATTTGTAAAATAATTTCAGATAGATTAATTTAACTTTAGAAATAAAAAAGGAACTTCTCATCTTGTAAAATAAATGAGTATTGCAAAAGAAAATTAGTCAAACTTCATTAGAAAACTAAAAGAATAATATAATAAGAATGGAGATATAGATGACAATATATATTGTTGAGATTTTTAACATATTAAATCCTCTGTTGAAAAATTTAGTAGAGCTTGAAAGAAAGGGATTATCACAAAGTCTTAAAATTCTAAGAACATTTTTTACTGCTAATACTAGCATACAGAGAAAATATTATTGGATACCCATGGTATATACCTATTTATTAAGACAGGTTGAGCAATACAGTTAGTAGCTTCCTGATGAACAGTACCATTTGTTCCAGAAGCAGATAATTAATATTTCAAATAATCCATATTTTACATCAGCCTCCCTTAGGTGAAGCAGAAAACAAATGAAAATAAAAACAATAATGTTCTTTTACTCCAAATACAAAGAAGAGAATATTAGCTGTTATCAGGAAAATGATGGAATCACATATTCTACAAGACAGCATTACAACATGGTTCAAAATACCAGATCAGGCATCTAGTATTCCCTTGTATTGTAACAGTTGTTTTGGCATTCATATCTTAGATTCGACCACTGGAGAAGTGGTGAAGTGCAATCAGTCTCAAATACTGACCCAGAATGAGACTACTAGATTCAACAAAAAAATGTAACTAGGGGGCTTAGTCCAGATAACACAAGTGTTTAAGAAGATTTTGTTTAGGACATGCCTAAAAACTGCAGAACTTTGATTCAAATGAGTAAGAATATATCTTACCAATGGAAACAAAATAGGCACAGAGAAGACACTCAGGTAGTAAGAAAGTCAAGCTACTATGTGAAGCAACCATGCTGTTGCCCTACTTACACTTCCCACACACAAATGTCTCTTCTATTTATAAAGTAAAATATGAATAAAAACACAATGAATAATACACAACATTAGAGGGAAGCACAAATACACTGAGAGCAGAGAGACTTAATATTTCTGGAAATTACTTAGCAAAAAGCAGGTCCCTTCTATTCTTGTGCATACTTCTATCAAAGTTGTGAGGTATAAAGATGGAGTAAGATCCCAGAAAGGAGAAATAATGGCAGTATTTGGGTGATGGTGTGAATGGAACCACTGCAGAAGGGACATACATATGTTGTAATCATCCACACAGTCACCACCTAAGAGTACAGGAGATTCCAAATGGAAATAACAAGTTATCACACAATCTTGCCTCATGACAGGTAGATATCATCATCAAGTACTTAATCCCACTCCATGAAATAACTCACACAAATCATAATACTACATTATCTCCAAGCAACAAAACACTTAATTGATGAAAATGATGAAATGGTCATTTAACTTCCTCTGTCCATTTATTGTAATTTGAGTCCTCAAATTGTATCCCAAATTATTTTTATGACATCTAAACTCCTATCATTCTTTGAATGACCATTTCCTGTGTAGCTTCTTAAAATTAATGTATATTCTAGTGGGGGCTTTAAAAAGCCACTGTAGAAAGAAATAACAACATACTATGTATTCCATAATATTTCATGGAAATTGCTCCCAAAACCAAAAATCCATTGTCAAAACATTCAATTATGCATTCCCTTTCCTTTCCTGTGTACTTCTTATGCAACTTCTGGTGGTAATAAAGGTAAGAAAGCCCCCTAGTATTTCAGTTGTCTATTTCATTAAATATACTATAATAATCAGAGATAACTAAAATCATTGATTAAAATATATCCTAAAATCATAGCATAGCAACAATGTAGATTTGATGAAAAAGAAAAATTCAGTGAACAAAAATCTAATCTAATCTATATCAACATGATGAAAACTAATACACACTAAAAATCATAATACAGGCCTTAATGCTCTTACCTTAAGGGAAGCTCTTTTGGGTCCTTGCTTGTGAAAGAGGCTTATGAAAGAAAAAAAATAGTATTGTTTGAAATTATTTAAATAGTCTTCATTAACTCATCAAGTGAAGTGTTTAAAAACCTACTTTCATCATCCTAATATGGACATATTCCTGGACATATTCCTCAACTTACCATCTGCTAATAATATTATCAATATTCTAAGTCATGCAGCCAAAAATAAAATTCAACCTACTGCTGTCATTACAACCCATGTTATTTGCAGCAGATGCTAATACCTATGGCTGTTTATTTCTGATATTTTCTATATCCCTTTTTTTCCCTGACCAGCCTGATTTCCTTGTTTCCCTCTACCTATCCACTATTGATATATTTCAAAACATTTATTGACTCTCAGATAAATTATACATAATTATGTTTGACATGTATATAATGTGGTATGTCTAATTCAAGCTAATTGATATCTATTATCTCATTTACATAATATTTTAATAATAATTATTATTATTAAACATGAAAAAATACATTTTCCAAATTCCCTAAACTTTAGGGTGCTCATGTGATTGATTTATACACCAACTATCTGACTTTCCTTTCCACAACGTCCCATTGATGTAATAAACCATAAAACCTTATATTGTAATGGAACCAGCAATAAATACTATCTTTGTGACAACACATGAGTGACTGCCATGACCCATAAACTCCTAGCAGAAACTTAAAATCTTTACTTTCCTGATTTCACTTATTCATATATTCTTTCAGATATTCATCAATATTTTTATAAATTTGTTTTTCATTTTACATAGTATATATCAAATTGCCAAGTATGTCAATATTTATCCCCATTTCCTCTTCTACTCATGCATCAACCTTATATACATAAAATACTTACATATTCATACTTTTTCTTCTTTCTTAACAACATCCAAAATACATTTCTGTATCCAACCTACAATTGACATAGAGCCACTTGTTCTCAACTATTTGTGATTCCATCAATCTTCCAACCAGACCATGCATCTATACATTCATTCTTGCAATCATCAATTAATCCCTCTATTCTGAAATTGAACCACTCACCCTAAGAAACAATCTATCATTTCTGAATTCCTTTCATTGAACACACATACATCAATCAGATCAATGGGCAGAGTTCAGTACAGCTCAGAATTACAGACCCTAAATTATTTGGCTGAACTAAACTTCCTCACTACCAGTGATCCAATCATCCTAACCACAAATAACTTCAAATTACTTATTTACCTCCTGACTTTAAAATCATTACATAAAATCTCTGGAAAATACTAACATTACATAAAATCTCTGGAAAACACTAGAATAATTCTGAACAAAAATATTATGCAATATGTACACATTCCCATAAATCAAATATTTTAAAATGTAAAATAAGCTCTTTATTTAGAACTTTAGGTTACAGTTAACTTTATTAAGAATGCTTCTGCCTCGCCATCATATAAAAAATGAGGACTAAACTGGGCACAGCTGTGCAGGCCTATAATCCCAGCTACTTGGAAAGTTGAGGCAGGATTGCAAATTTTAGCTAGCCTTGATAAATTAGTAAGACCTTGTTTCAAAATGAAAATAAAGAAATAGGACATGGTGGCACACGTCTCTAATCCCAGTGAGAAGTACCACTGAGAAGTATCACAATTTGAAGTCAGCCTTGGCAACCTAGCAAGACCATACTGCAAAATAAATAATAAACATGGCTGGGCACACAGATAAAAGGAAGGAAGGTCAATACTGAGTTCTACTCTCAGTATTGCCAAAAAAAAAGGGAGGAAAATAATGTAATGATCACAGGACAAATAAGGTTGAATATAAGGATAGAAGGAAAAACATAAGTATAGAAATTATATTGCCATATAGCTCATCTAAAAAAAAGAGTAAAGACATACTGTAAAAATTCCTCCATATTCTTAGCTGTCCAATGTTAACATATCAGAAAGTCATTTTCATGCTCCTTCACCCCCAAGCAACCCAAGAAACTGAGGAAGTCTAAAGGGAAGAAGATGGCCATGGATTCTGCTATGGTGAATGAGGCCAAGAAAGTGGTTAATCTGAAAAAAGACTCAAGAGTTCTGGCTGTCATCAGGGAATATAGTTCCAAATGAAACTTACCCACTCTGTCAAATAGCCCTGCTACATCAGGCAATACCAGCAAACGTGCCTACTGTGTCTATCTATTCACTCATAACTTGGGCTGCCAAACAACTACTCTGCTTCTTCTGGTTCATAAATACAGATCCAAGAAAATGTGAGAGAAGCAGAGATAGTTGGCCCTGTGAGAGGAAAGCAGCAGGCAAAGGGACTGTCCTAACAAAGAGACCACTTTTCCTTTGTGTACTGTGCTATCTTGGCAGGAACAGCTGCTTATTACAGTGTCTGGTATGAATCTCATTAATCTGGTTATCTTCCTCCCTGTTCTATGACATAAGATAGGGGTTCCTTACTATAACATTAATGGAAAAGTCACACTGGGACAGCCTCAAAAAGACCTGGACCACTAATGCCTTAGTACAGGTAAATTCACAAGAAACATAAGCAGTGCCTAAGCTGTTAGACCAGGATCAATTACATTGGTAGATATGAGATCTGCCATCATTGAAAGAGAAAACATCCTAGACTCAAAACCCAGGGTTCCCATTGCTACAGAGGAAAATGAAAAGGCTAAACTTGCCACTAAACTTGTTTCAATGTACACTGTTTTCTGTGAATAAAAATATGAATTATCCTTCGAAATAAAGAAATAGTCATTTCCTCATGATAAAGGAAGAGTGATACACTACTCCAGTTCAAAACATTTTGAGGGATAGGTCAACAGTAGAGTGCTGGCCTAGCATGTGCAAGGCCCTGAGCTCAATTCATAAAAGGAACAAAACAATTTTTTTGCACTTTCTACTCAAATTACTATAGTGGAAAAGATGAAAGTATGAAAAATAATGAGCCTAAGCAGGGCATGGTGGCACATGCCTGTAATCCCAGGGATTTGGGAGGCAAAGGCAGGACAACTCCAAATTCAAGGCCAGCATCAGCAATTTAAGCAAGGCCCTAAACAATTTAGCAAGACCTGCTTGCAAAATAAAAAAATAAATAAATAAAGGGCTGGGGATATGGCTCAGTGGAATTTAATGAGCCCAAATATGGCAGGAGATGGTACTAAATTTCAGTGCAGAATATTAATGACTTCCATTAATTAAGACAAAGAAGTCTCACAATCTGAAAATTCAGCATCCTTTGTGTCAATTATTACAAATTCATATAAAGTCAAAAAATAATATTAACACTAAACCTACTAGAATGTGGAATTACATTTGTAGCATAAGGAATTTCCAGAATTATCTTTCCTTATGTATTATATTATTACTCTATTTCTCAAATTATCTGGAATAAGCACCTAATTTTTAATCAGAGAGGAATAACTAAACAGTTTATCATCTCATACTTGTGTTCTAATTGTTTTATTTTAGCAGATATGAAATTTTAAGTTCACATATATATAAAATCAGAAGTAAAAAAAGTAATACAAAATAGAAAGATTTCAATTGGCACTTTGACAATGAATGGACTAAGAATGGAAGAACTTTGGGCAAAGGGGAGGGAGGAAGAGGAGATTTAGGGACAAGATGGTGGAATGAGATGGACATCATACCCTAAGTATATGTATGACTGCACATATGATGCAACTCTAATTGTATACAGAGAAATGAAAAGTTGTGCTCCATTTGTGTACAATGAATCAAAATGTATTCTGCTCTCATGTATAATTATTTAGCATAAATAAATAAAAGAAAATGAATAGTTCTTGGGTTGGTGTTGTGGCTCAGTTGTGGAATGCTTGCCTGGCATGTGTAAGGAACCTGGTCCAATTCTCTGCACCACATATAAGTAAATAAAGGTGAATTGAAAACTAAAAAGAATTTTTTTTAATTTTAAATAATATATTTTACCACATCTATCAAATGAATTCTCCTTTCAAATCAGTATGCCTAATAATTAGAATTTATATCAGATTTACCTTGCATGTGTGAAGCACTGGGTTTCATCCTCAGCACCACATAATAATGAATAAGTAAAATAAAGGTATCATGCCCATCTAAATATATATATATATATATACATATATATATTGTTTATGTATATTGTTTTTTTTAAATATTTATTTATTAGTATTTGGCAGACACAACATCTTTGTTGGTATGTGGTGCTGAGGATTGAACCCGGGCCGCACGCACTCCAGACAAGCGCGCTACCACTTGAGCCACATCCCCAGCCCAATATATATATATTATTTATATATATATATATATTTATATATATATTTTATTGTTCTATTTCTCAAATTATCTGGAATAAGCACCTAATTTTTAATCAGAGATGAGTAACTGAACTGTTTACAAATATATATTATATACATATATATTATATATAATATATATAATATATATGGAGCAAAAATCAAGTATTACTCATGAGTATAAGGTACTGCGGCACTGAAGTTAAAAGACCCAGAGTGAGTCAAAATTCAGTTCCTATCTCAGTAACTACTTTAATAGAAGTTACTATTAGTATTCAATACCAATTGGAATTGAGTACTGTGATATACCAGGCCCTCTTCTAAACTCCATATATAATTTTTCTTAACGCAAGTAATCTTGAGACATGATTTATGATAGGCAGCTCAAAAACTCACAAGTAAAAATGTGTGAAATGAACAGAGCCACTTAAGCCTAGGAACTTTAAACATATTGTTTGACTAGAAATATTACAGTAAATGAATGAGATAGTACATGTTTTTTTCAAAAGAGGAAAGGTAAAAATAATACTGTTCAGGGCTGGGGTTGTCGCTCAGTGGTAGAACGCTTGCCTAGCATGTGTGAGGGTTCAATTTTCAGCACAACATGTAAGTAAATAAATAAAATAAAAAATTATCACCAACTAATAAAAATATTTTTAAAAATAGCACTGTCAAAAGTTACAATTTCTTCATAATTATGTAAAAGATTTAACTAGGGGCTGGGGTTGTGGCTCAGTGGTAGAGTGCTCACCTAGCACGTTCGAGGCCCTGGGTTCAATCCTCAGCACCACATAAAAATAAGTAAATAAAATAAAGGCATTGTGTACAACTAAGAAATAAACATCTAAAAAAAAAGATTTAACCTAAATTATAGAAAAATATTGTGCATCTTCCAAAATAAGAGTGTACTAAAACTAAGTGGAGATAACAAATGGAAACGAGACACTTTTGTAGAAAAGGAAAAAGATACTTAAAAAGGTAAATTATTGGGGTGGGAATATAGATCAGTTGGTAGAGTTCTTGTGTCATATGCACAAGGCCCTGAGTTTAATCCCCAGCACCAAAAAAAATTAAATTATTGGGGCTGGGGCTGAGACTCAGCAATAGCACACTTGCCTGGCATGTGTGAGTCACTAGGTCCAATTCTCGCATCACATAAAAATAAATAAGAGTCTATCAATAACTAAAAAGAATTTTTTCATTGTTTTATAATTTATTGTATATTTGGAAACAGTTCATATAAAAAACAGTTCACATTAACTGTGTTTATAAAAAGCACAAACACATAGAAAACTGCAAACACAGATATAATATAGGTCCTTAGTATATTGAAGTCACAGTGATCTGGATTCGGGTTTCTTATGCAAAATACTATCTTAGTTGTATTATAATTTTTGTGTACTTTGGGTCAATATTTATTCATAGGACTAGTGAAGCAAATTAGACAATAAAAAGTAATAAATAGTTATATATTAAGGAAATTATTTTAAAAAGTAAATCTTTTGTTCATTTGTACACACACAAAATAAGTTTCATAAATAAGAACATACCCAAACTATACACTAAATAAACCAATTGCATGAATAATAAACATCTGAATAAACTTAAAAACTAGAAAAATAATTAAAATGTACTGGTTACCTCTTTTATCCCATTTTTGCATCTCCATGTCATAATTATAAGCATTATTATACAACACAACTGAACTTTCCTTGCAGTTCTTTTGGAATTATAAGTTGAAAAACAGAGTTATCATTTAAAAGGAGAATTTATTGACATTCAGAAGAAATACACCAACTAATAATGTATAGAAAAGGATTCTTTCTTTTATTTTTTGTTGTTGTTGTTGCTTTTGAGACAATTGCTTGCTATGTTGCCCAAAATGGTCTTTAAATCCTGAACTTTCATGAACCTCACAACTCAACCTCCAGATAAGAGCCACCATACTCATAGGAAGCCATATTATTATGTATGAAAGAAATGACAGGTGAGGCACAGTGGTACACACCTGCAATCCCAACAACTTGGAAGGCTGGGGTAGGAGAATCCCAAGTTCAAAATCAGCCTCAGCAACTTAGAAAGACCCTCGGTAACTTAGTGAGAAGCTCAGCAACTTAATGAGACCCTGTCTAAAAATAAAAAATAATTAAGTTGATATAGTTCAGTGGTAAAGCACCCCTGGGTTCAACCTCCATTACTAAATATAAAAAATTATATACTTCATGGGTCTCAACATCATAGAATGGTAAACAAAAGTTATGTAAAATGGTATTCATATAAATACATACATTGTGACACAACCGCTTATACAATAAATGATAAATAATTTGGTTTGATAAACCCAGTCACACACACACCAATTGTTTGTAAGTATTAAAGAAATTAATTAATGAACACTTCCACAGGGGTGAAAACTATGAAACCTAAAATGTACAAATATAAATCTTTCACAGGGAAAATGACCTTATTTCCTCTAAAAGCAAACCGCCATTAGAAAATATTAGAAACTAAAAGATGGACCTGGGGGTATAACTCAAGTGATTTGTCTGGCATGCCTGAGGACCAGAGTTTGTTTCCCAGCAAAACAACAACAAAAGGGTTGTTACAAATTCAAAGAGACACATTAACCAAACACATGAAACACAATATATTTCTGAGATGCCAATTTTAACATCAAAACTATTTTTAAAATTCTTTGCTGATTTAGCCAGGCACAGCAGTGCACACCTTGTAATCCCAATGGAACAGAAGGCTAAAGCAGAAGGATCACAAACTCAAAGCCAGCCACAACAACTTAGCAAGGCCCTAAGCAAATCAGCAAGACCATCACTAAATAAAAATATTAAAAAAGGGCTGGACATGTGGCTGAGAAACACCACTGAGTTCAATCCCTAATAATGCTCCCCTCAAAACTGTTAACTTAGTGACATTCAGCAAATAATATGATGATCATGTGTAAATAAGAGAACTGTGTCCAAAACTTGGGATATGAAATTCAGAAAAAGTTACAAAATAACACCAGAAGTTAGCTGGCAATTCACCAATAAATGGGAAAAATCAAGATCATTATCAGACTCTAATGGACCACTTTTAACAAATCCCACCAACACGAGCATATGGAAAACCGAAAATAGCATAAGATATTATACTGTACAATAAAGCCAAAAGAAATCAAGGGAAAGTATCTATAATAATGGTAAAAAAAAAGAAATCTGTACCAAGTTGATAATATACTTTGGTAACACTTAAAAGAGCTCTCTACCTACTGAAGACTAGAAGCGTTTCCAAACAAATATAACATATTTACAAGATTATACTCTGTTATACTCTGTATAGTGTATTGATATGTACTTACATATCACATATATTTTATTATATATTCAACAGAAACATATATACAAATCTTTGAGGTAAAAATGATAAGGCTTTAGCTCACCAAAATCCATTTAATATGCTAAAATTAAAAATAGTCCGTCCAGGCGCAGTGGTGCACAATGTAATCCCAGTGACTATGGAGGCTGAGACAGGAGAAATCACGAGTTCAAAGCCAACCTTAGCAACAGTGAGTTGGTTATCAGCTCAGTGAGACACTGTCTCTAAATAAAATACAAAAATAGGGATGGGGATGTGGCTCAGTGGCCAAGTGCCCCTGAGTTCAATACCCAGTACCAAAAAAATAGAATCAACAAAATGGCAAATATGGAAATTAAGCAGTTCCCCCTTATTGATATGAAACTTTAAAAAAAATTACACTTAGGGGCTAGAAGTACAAAACAGAGGCAGAATACTTGTCTAGCATTCTTAGCACCATAAATTTGGATCTCAGATCCCCGCCTCACCCCCTCAAAATACATGTGTGTGTGTGTGTATATATTTCCTATCTAAAATGAGTATATAATAAAGACTGAGAATAAATTATGAAGCTCATTAGCAAAAATATCTGCTTAGCATTCATGAGACTGGTTTCAATTCCCAACAATAAGAAAAAAAGAGAAAAATTTAAAAAATACATAAAGGTACTAGATTGCATCTAAATGTGCAAAAACTGAGATTTTTTTTAAATGGATTTTTCACCTTATTTGTTTATTCATATGTGGTGCTGAGGATTGAACCTAGGGCCTCATACATGCTAGGCAAGTGGTGTACCACTGAGCCATAGCCCCCAACTGAGATATTTTAATGAGGACTTTCTTCTAATCAAAATTGAAATACATTATCTGTAATTTTGAACATACACACATAATGTT